AGGACTTCGGGTAGAAGTCAATGCATTGATGAATTATGTTAATCCAATTAGACCTCAATACCTTGTCCAAATAGAAACATTATATAAGTCAGCCAGTTGATGAGGATGACTTTGCCTTTTTTAATTCATCACTTATCATTTCTACCCATTCACAAATATAAGGAATTTCCATAACATAAAGTAAATCCAGAATCTCTTAAAGCACAGGTGATCAAAAGTATTATTTCAATAGCGAGCTAACAGTGACCCCAAACTACCAAATATGTGTGTGCTAAGACCTCATCAAAGCCAATGAAAGTTTCTCTTGTTAGACTACAGGTTTGTTATTTATTTTAAAATCATATTTTGAAAAATCAGTATAACTCAAGTAAAATATAATCTAAAATGTTTATGTTTTAATACAAGGAGTCGTTTGATCCTTAGCCTTGGTCTTTCCTTAAAAAAAAAAAAATAGAGAGAGAGAGAGAACAACTTTGAACCCAAATGTCCTACCATTTTATTTTTTCAACTTCTGGAAACCTCAATTCATATGGCCCCTGGATAAAAACAGATCTAAATTTTGAACCAGTTTCTGAGTTTGAAGGTGTGGAGAATTAGTTCATTATTACCGTTTCAGAAATGCCAAGTGTTTAAAATATTGGAAACCCTAGATTCAGATGATACAGTCATATTTAGAATTTTCTTTTAAGGAAAATTGTTATTTGGGCAAAGTACATTTATTTCAGCACAGTATACAAATTCTTCATATTCTCCAAAACGGGAGTAGCAGGAGCCAATTTATCGAGTATAATGTATTCCAGACACTTGCTGGAATAAACAATGTTCTTGAGCCCCTCAGATGCATAGCCAGTAGGGAGCTGTTGACTACTTGAGGTTTTTGCACATCTCTCAGCCAAATCAGAAATCCAAATCCCAAATCAGTCACAGGCACACAGCGTGGATTTATAGTCCTGCCTGGGCGTAGGGTCACAATCTGCTAATGAATTATACCACCCAAGATAGGTTTATTTTTGACATAAAATATGCTTTTTTTTTTCACTTGACATGAATGCAACTATGAATAAAATTTTCAATAAACATAAATGTCTTTTGCAATGCAAGCCAAAATCCAATAAAACATATATTCACAATTCTCCATTTGAGGCTACATGAGAGTTTATATTCATCTATTGATGTATATATAGAGATATATTTATCTTCTGGATTGCCATGTGAGTAGTAAATGCCATAAGGACTCAATTATGTATCTGTTGGTTTATATTGAACTTAGAACATTGAGCTGTTTACATGTCATAAAATGCTAATCCTAACTGCTGGCCTAACCTACATTATGTGCAATAAAAAAAAAGTTGAGAAAGTTTTTTTGCACAAAAATTCCTTAAATGTAGAGTTATACTGTGGCTTATGGCATAAATATAGAACACATGTGACAGAAATGTACATCGATATCCGAGTCCTCAAACTTTCAAATACAGATCCACCGAAGGCATAGGGCAAAAATCAACAGGAGTTTTGTAGTTCTTTGAGCATTTGTATTCCGCCTATACTGACAGGTATGTTATGACTAGTCCTGATTCAGAGACCTCTCTCTCACACGCACACAGCCCACACGTTTTTAAACATTCCTTTGTTATTTAGTTTGGCAGTGTAATTTCATCTAGAAAATATCGTCAAATGCACCAAATGGGAGTTTTCATAAGGAAAATGAAGATCCAGCCCACAAGTTTAGATTGAGATTTACCTCAGAGCGTCATGGAAAGAGGACTGGACTGTATGGGAACAGCCAAGAGTGAAGCCAACTCTCCAGGTATGAGTTGGAAATGCTCTTATGTACAGGAACCATTGAAAAAAAAAAAAAAAAACTTTTAAAAGACCAGTCATTTTCCCCTTGCCCTGGCCTCTCTTCTTTCACTCAGTTAAATCACTGAGTACCATGAGGAAGCATGTTAATTCCTTGAGTGTAGAGTGTATCTCGATGGAAAGCATTATTTGAAAGCATTAGAATGATTATTCCAAGAAAAGTTATGCACAAGACTCAAGACATGGTCCCTATACCCTTGGACCTTTATATTATAGAAAGTGCACGTCTTTTTTAGTCTACTGGAATTTCTTATAATCTGAAAGTTAAATGTCAATGCCTATTGCTCCCTTAAAAAAAAAAAAAAAGAACAAGTGTGTGAGATAAACCAGGGAAAAGTCTTCTCACTACCCGGGAACTTATTACATGAGCCATAAATTTTTGACCTTTCCATCCAATTTCTTGTTACATTAGGATTGGTTTTCTAAACCATGCTGACTCATGTTAGGAAATACATTTCCTCCTATCGAGACTTCTTAACGTCATCAAATTCTTTAATCACAGGGATTTTGGAAGTATGCAGTAAGAGGACCTGGGGTAAATGGAACAAGTTTAAGTTTACTTTTATCTTTATGCACTTCTAGCTTAGGACAGCAAGTGAGGGCTGCAAGGCTAGGATTCTTGGCCAGGTTGCTACTAAAGACCTACAGATACTTTTCAGGTGATGTTTTACCTGTATCCTTTGTCTCATAAATGGCAAATTTTATAGTACATTTGACTAATTTTAAAAAAAGATGTATTTTTGTTGATCTTTTCTTTTTAGGTGAGTCTTCCAAAGTGATTGAGATGCAATCCTTCTGCATATTTCATTTGCCTGCTTTTCTTCCCTTTTTATCATCTTTCTCTTTTGGCATATACATAATTTTCACTGTCAACCACTGCTGTAGGTGGAGCTTTCCTGAGCTTCCAGTTTGCTTTTATCCAGATCATTCTACTTGTTAACATATCCACTTGGAAGCTGCCTATACCTTTACAAAGAGAGGATATCTAACAAGTGCTTTGGGGGAATATGATTCCTCAATGTGGAAGTCACTAGTTTCTCCCCCCAGCCCAAAGGCAATGGCCTGACTGTTCCTTTTACGTTCCTATAATATCAGATGACAAACAAGCATCAGATTTATTCTTCTTTCTCACAACTAAGAAATGTAAAAAATAGCACCTCTTCCTCCAAGAATAAAATTGCTGGTGCATTTTTAAAACATCCAACACAACTGTTCCTTCAGTATAGTCTGGAACAGAACTGTATGCTTCATAAGCAAACTCTAATGGCCAGTGGAATGGAAATATTTGGTAGCTTGACTCATGACGAGTATGGAGTAGGACCTCAAGTTTATGACTTCGAGATTATATTTCCCCAGACCTATTGCTTGTACTTATCTAGGTTAAATCTCATTTGCTATTTCCTGACCAAGTATTTGGCAGATAGCTGATAGTACTTTTATTGACTTTAGGTTTACAGCTGTAAATTACTGCTGAACTTTTAAAAAAATCTATTCCATGTTGTGAGTTCTATTGTCATGCAAAAATAAAACTCACCAGTTTACTTTGACTTCAGAAAGCCCAGGATAAGAAAGCTTGAATTCATTGAGAAGAGGTAACATAAAGGGTTATTCTATAAATGTACAGATTGTGGACTGAGGCCCATTTAGATGAAGCAAGCAATCATCTCTCTCTTAGCCAACAGTATGCCTGAAGAATAGCACCAGAGGTAGCTATAAAGATAATTTTTTAACTGCCTTGCCTTGCATGCAAAGCCAAGCACCATCTAAGTGCCAAATTTAGTGCCAAAGGAGCAGTGAAAGGAAGAAAGCAAACTATCCATTGTTTGTTTGATAAGCATAAAATATTTAGAGTGAGGAAAATTATGTTTCCAACACTGTAATTGTCTTTATTTCTTAACATGTAACAAGAGGCACTGAGATGTTCTAGATAATGAAAACCCAGTGTGTCCTGGAGCATCAGTCAGATATTCAGAGTGTTGACCTGCTGACTGAAGTTGACTTCTTTTGTTCCTATTTTTGTTTATGCCTGTTTTTTTCCTTTGTTTTGTTTTATTCTTTGCCTCCATGTGAGTTTCTCTCCTAACAGCAGATATTTTGTTTGCTTGCTTTGTTTTGCTAGGGTATTCTATTTTATCAAACAAATGTTTGATAGCTTAAGCTATCCTTCAAGGAATAACATTTTACATTGCTTTGTGCATCATTTAAACCAGTGCTTTTATGTACTATTAAATCTATAAATTAACTGAATCAGAGCCAAAACCCATGATGTTTATAGTAAGTATGAAAGGAAGGAGTCTGAAAGATAAATTTCATCATTCATTTTTCAGAACACACAGCATGCTAACAACTCATGGCAACTTTCCTCTAAAAGCTTTGTCCCAAGATTTCATGTTTTAATTTGCTGTAGATTCTGAAGCAAATGGTGAGCCAAATAATTTTCCTCAATCTAACATGATATAGATATTTTCCTTCAAATCATGAAACTGATTTATATAGGCAAGAGGAAAACTCAAACCACTTCACAATCACCTAAGGAAACCACTGATGATCAACTGGGACAAAACGTTTGTTGGAGTGAAAAAGGAGTTATTCTACCTTATGTAAGAAAACAAGAGCACTATGGTCCCTGCAGTGTGACTGCTTCTAGCAATTTTTCATCTTTGTTGTTAAATAAAATTTCTCAGCAGTCTCAAGTCACTTATTCAATAGGTTTGGGTGTCTTTTCAGTACCGTGGGGAATTCTGAAGTGTAATCAGATGCAATGATATCGTAGGAGGCAAAATGCACCAACGAGCGTTTACCTGTACCCTGTTGTGGGTGAAAGTGGACCTGCCGCGAGGCCAGGCACAGAGGGGTATGAATGTATGTTTAAATTTAAACGTGAGCTAGAACTGCTGATCAAACCCCGTTGTGCCTCGGAAAGAGGGGTTCCCTGTGCAAGAATTCCAGAGAATGTAGCTGCAAGGATCAAACGTGGATGACTCCTTTGACGTGAAAATGGAGCTAGGAAGCTTGAAAACAGGGATAGTCTGAGAGAGTTAGAGGTCCCGCGCGTGGGTCTGTGGAGACGTAGGAGGAATCGCTGGATCAAAGACCCTGAAACGACTTGAGCTCGGTTCAGAGAGTTAAGCGAAATTCACCTCAGGTAGGAGGATTTTCCTTGCCGATTTCGCCTTCACCTTACGGAAGTCTAGCTGCTTTCGTAAGACGCGTCTTTTTCTTCCAGCCCAGGACGCTGCGCATTTGGACTGGATGCGGTCTCGAAAAACCCGGAGACACTCCGGGTTGCTGGGGCTGTGTGCAGGCGCGTCTGGTTGCTCTGCCTGCTGCCTCTGCAATTCGATTTCAGGCCCCTTTCCCCTCTCGGCATTATTTTTCTGACGACTTGAGAGGGAAAAAAAAAACAAAAACTATATAAGAAACTCGAGAAGAGACTCTGGGATGTAGAATTGCACACGTGGCCCTGCAAATTGGATGGGAGGGTAGGGGAGGTGGGGAGGAGAGAAGTGAAACTAGAAATGATGGCACTGCTTTAGAATTCGAGAATCTCCCTTCTTCTCTCCCAATACATATCTGTTTTTGGTTCTTCACAGCTGCCCTTATCCAATAGGTGTGGAAGAACGACCGCGACGCGTCTACGGACGTAAATGTTGGAGCAGCCCGCGCTGTGGGGATTTTTCCGGGGAACCTCAGAAACGGATGCTCTTCCCGAGGCTGTTTCCAAGTAGGAGTAGATTATTTCCCCCCAAAGACTACGAACAGCTCCTCTGTCCAAATCCAAGATACAGAAATGCATAGCCTCCCTCAAAGAGGACATTACAACATCATTTAGAGAGTCCTGAAGCCCTCGAGTATCAGAGAAGTAAAGATGAAAAGATACCTTTAGGATATGTTAGGGGTGGCTAAACAGGTAGGCAGATGATAAAGAGAGTGGTTTTCTTCTGGAAGCTGTTTTGCTTCAGAATTTACCGTCTTCTTGCAAAAAGTATACATAATTGTTAACAGAATTAAAAGACAAAGTTTTGTCCATATAGATGTGCCATTTTATCAATAAAACTGAACACTAACTTCCTTTGGGAAGGAAAGATAAATCAAAGTGTTACCGCCGATATCTCAATCAAGATTTAAGAACAATTTCTCCCTCCCTAAGAACTTTCACTGTTTTTCTTTTCTAGCATGAGTTCAGTTCAACAAAAGATGTTAACAAGATTGTAACGAAAACTCTGCATGATGTAAATGTTCAAAGAAAGAAATTCTAGATTTATTATATTCTGGGACCGCAATTATTACTAGATATCACTAAAACAGAGGAATCAGAGGCCCTGAAAGTAGGACTCTAAGTGGGGAGGGGTGGGGGCGGGGGAGACTTTGGAGAAATTTCCCTCAATTAAAGAAAGAAAAAAAACACTATAAAATGTAAATGCAATAAATTGAGCTGAATTTTATTTTTCCAGGTTTAAAATATGTATTTAGTAGGTTTTGAAGGCCAATTACCAATTCATAAATGTATCGGAATAAAAATTGGAGAGCAAATGCCAAATGCCTGTGGTTTATGTAAACGACATAAAATCACGGGTTTTTAAATATCTAGATGGATCATGGACGGATATAAAATGAAAGATAAAAATCAGTTGTTATGGCTTGTCGTGGATTTTCGTGTGCTTATTAATTTTCTTAAGTTTCCAACTGTTTGCATTTACAAACATTTGACTAATATTCTAAGCTGCTGAAACTACAACAGACACAGTTTCCCTATCTCCCTTCTCAGAAGTACATGGGAAAAGATCACCAAAGAGATACTTCTAAGTGAGGCGCGTCCTCGCCGCCGGGTCTCAAACAATGGGTCGTGTTTGGGCACCTCTGCAAGGAAGCTGAGTGTGGGGAGAGGACGCGAGGGGACTTCAGCAGCCGGCTGCCGTCCCTCCTCCTTCCAAGGCTTTGAATAACACCCACTCAGCACCATTCTTGGGGTGCTAGGAGGGGAAAGGACAGCGTTTGTTCGGGAGGGAGAAGTGGGAGATGGGATGTGATTTTTACCCCGTCTTGGTGAGGAGGGTGGCTCAGGAAAGCCCTCTGGGACTGACGGATCCCCCGGAAGGTTAAGAGGGTCTGCAACGAGGCCTGCCTGCAGGTCGCTCCAGCCGGCGGTGGCTCTGGCCTCCCGCGCGCTCGTCGCAGCCGCGAGCGACCGAGGCTGGGAAACCCGCTGCCTCCCCAGCGGCGCCTATTACCAGCAGCTGCTTCTGCTTAGCCCTCCAAGGATCAGTTTGCCCCAACCCACGGCCTCTCTCGGGGCTTCATCTCCTCCCACCCCTCCCTTTCCTTCCCCGCCTCCACCCCCTCCCCCCGTAGCCAGCGCCAACTCCGCAGCCGCCCGGCCCGCCGACGCCGCAGCGGAGACACGCGCTCAGGTTCCAAGCTCTGGGATGCGGGCGCTGGGGGAGGGCGCGCGAGGAGCGAGCCAGGAGGACCCTGAGACTTTAAGCCCTCCGAGGGAGGTTAGAAGAGGGCGCGGCGGCGGTGATACTAGGAGACCGCCGGCGGGAAGGGAGCCGGCCGAGGCTCGCGCCTCTCACCGGCCGGGGCGCTCCTAGGGCGCCGTTTGCCTGTGCGGGAGAGGCGGGTTCGAACCCTGCTCATCACCTGTAGCGTCCGGGAGATCGATCGCGCCGAGAGAATGTGGGGCCGCGGCTGCCTCGGCGCGGGGTTCCAGGGAGCTTGGGAACAGCTTGCTCCGCCAGCACCGGCAGTGCGCGCGGTGACCCCGCAAAGGCACGGTTCACCGGGGCGGCCCCTCCCTCGTCCTCTAACACCACTTCCAGCTTGGGCTAGAAACAGACACCCGCGAGGCGAGAGCAGGCGCTCAGCAAGGTTCGGTGGAAACTGGGACAGGAAAGCCAATGCTGCTCGGGGTGGGGGGGTGGGGGGGCGGCGCCGCGATGCTCGCGGGACGCAGGGCTCTGCACCGCCGGGGGCGCGGGCCCGCACCGGGCACCGCGGTGCTCCTGGCTCCGCGGACTGGAGTCGGTTCTCCTTCCAGTGCCGGGCGGGCAAGAGAGCCTTTTGGTGAGGACAGGCCGGGCCTCTCTGGCCCCAGGCTGTAAAGGGGCCTAATGCCAGCCGACCGGCTAGCTGCACAGGCCTGTTCTGACACCGAGAATGGTCAGACAAGGAAGGATGCACCTCTGAAGAGAGTTTTCACCTAGGTGTGCCGTGGGATTTTAGAAAGCAAGCCTGCGGTGGCTGCGATGCGTTCGATTCCCGCACCTTCGCACTGTTCTGTTTTCCCTGCTTATCACCAGGAAGAGCAGTATCCTGCCTGCCTAGAGGTGACCGAAGCTAAGGGCCTTCTCCCCGCCCACCGCCGAGAGTAGGGGGCTCATCCGTCAGCTGAGGGCGCACACTTTCGCTCCAGTGCCCTATCTGATAGCTGGAAGGGGTCTCAGCGACCTTGTAGTTATCCAACCCTGCAGCTGTGCGGATGAAGAAATGACATTCCGAGGAGTCCAGTGATCTGCCCAAGTTGACTCGGCTGTATGCCCAGCTTCTGGAATAACGCCTAGCGTGGGGCGAGCCATCAGTCAATGTGTGATCAATGAATGATACCCAGCCAGGTGGTCGAAGACTCAAGACTCGAACTGAGATCCGACTCCCAGTGCACCCACTTTAACAGAAGCGTAACCGTGTGTCAGGTCGTTTCCCGCTCAGTCCCACGCGTGTTCCAAGGCCAGGCCACAGCATCCCCAAACCCAGATGCACCCCTGTCCACAGATTCCAGCGAACCGAACCCTTCGCTCTTCCTTACTGATCTCCAAGAGTCCAAGATCTCCAGCCCCCATCCGCACCCCCCCTCGGTTTTCATTTCGCAGTTCTGCGGACTGTGGGGCTTCCCTGGTGGCTCAGATGGTTAAGAATCTGCCCGCAAGGTGGGAGACCCGGGTTCGATCCCTGGGTCAGGAAGATCCCCTATGCTGTGGGCAGCATCGGGAAAAAAACAAACAACAATTAAAAAAAAAAAAAAACCCAAACTGCCGCAGCAGAAATTGCAAGGCGCAAAACCTCTCCCTCCTTGGTCTCCTTTCTCTTGTAAGAATACCAACCCATCCCCGTTTTTTTGGCGACCTTAACCTTGGCCAAGGTCCGTTTCAGGGAAGGGTTGGCGCTTTTAAAGGCCGTTTGGGGAGGCTATGGCATCTCCTCCCTCCCCCACAGTGAACATGCAATCTAAGTGGAACAAAATTCTCCGAGCAGTGCATCACTTGAAGACCCTCTGCCTCCCACCTCCCAGCCACACTCCAATCGCTGCCCTGAGCTAAAGCCTCCTAGAATTTCTGGGGTCGCCATTTCTCTGGGGGAGCTGTGGAACACAGTTCCGAGGTGGGGGGAAAGAGAACAGGAGCGGGAAAGTGCGCAGCAGCCCAGTCTACCAGATCTCTGCTCTTTGGAGCTCTTTCTGCAAAGGCAGTGAGCGGGCGGAGCTGGACGCAGTCTAACGAAGCCCAGTTACCACTCACTGGAGGAACACCTTGGCTAAAGCGTTTGAGCGGCTGTGATTCTTCTTGGCCGGCCAAGTGCCACCCGAAGGCCAATAGGGTTTTTTTCCCCAGAGGGCGAATTTGCCAGTTTTACGAATGGAAAGAGATGTGGGGGTGTTTGCGAAATTTAGATCTGTAGCATACAAACCACTTTCGAACAGAAAAATGTGTGCAAAACTCGACACATTGGAGCCCCTGCGGGAAAGACCCACAGGACTTGGCACATGAAAGTGCAATGGTCATTGAATGAATAAGCGTGATCATTTGCAATAATAGCAGTCACACTTTCCTCTAGCAAGCTCTCAGCAGCTACCATCTTCCTTGTTTTTAAGACTGCTGTGGGACCCTCGCAAATAATTTCAGTTTCATGATTACCAACTATCGAATGAGATACAGATAGAGTCTGACATTGTGGTTCATTCAAACACTGTTAGCAATATTTTCTGAGATCAACTCTGTTCATTGTGATCACACAAACAGGAATCCATATTTATATTCATAATTAAAGGATGTAAAGTAAAATACAGTTATTCTTGACAGTGGAAAGAAACTGGCTTCTTTGAAATTTAAAAAAAAAAATGGCTGGAAGAGATACTCCCAGATCTCTTTACCAATAATAAATTTGGGCAACACATAATGTCTAGGGAATAGGTCATTGTAGCAGAGAAATCATAGCAGTAAAGCTATTTACATGATGCAGCTATTTAAACAAACAAACAACAAAACCCCCCAAATCTATTGCTGTACTTCTGTGTCCTCACAGGAAACCCTCATCTCTCCATTTTCTAATTTTATTAAAAGTTCCAGAAAATATTACAGATCATTAAGGAAAAAAATGAATAATGGATT